TGATCGTTAAGAAAAACAGGTTTAACATCCATTTGATAAAGCTTAAAATCCAGGCAACAAACAAATGTCATAAAGAGTCTAATAGCTTGTAGACGAACTGCATGGGCATAAGTCTCCTCACAGTCTATTCCTTCCGTTTGACTATATCCATTTGCCATTAAACTTGCCTTATTTATCGTAATTACACTATTTGCATCCATGTTGTTCCTAAATACCCATCTAGTGCCTATGACAGTTTTATCAATTGGACATGGAACAAGGTCTCAAACGTCATTATGTTTAAATTAGATTAGTTCTTCTTGCATAGAAATTAACCATCCCTCATCAAGTAAGGCATCTAATATCTATTTAGGTTCAATATGAGAAATGAAAGAAGAGTACTTACAAAAACTATTAACTTGTGATCTAATACTTTCACCTCTTTTGATATCTCCCAAATTTGATATAATGAATGGTCTTTTGTGATTGTCCAATCTTGAGGCAGTTGGTTCAAGATCTCTTATTTTTTCATCCTCATGTAATATTTCCTCTTTATCTTCACTAATGTCCTTATCCTTTGTCAAAGGAGTTGGATCCTCTTTTGAACTTTCATCGTTGATCTGCTTTTCTGTAATCACACCTAAAACATCAGAACAAATACCTTTCCCCAACTTTTAGGGTGAGGACTCATCAAATGCAACATGAATAGATTCTTATACATAAGAATTTATATGATTATAAACTCTATAAGCCTTACTCATAGATGAGTACCCTAAGAATATCCCTTCATCATAATTAAAATCAAATTTACCAAGATTGTCCTTTTCGTTATTTAAAATGAAAAATTTGCAAACAAAAATGCAAAAATACTAAATATTTGGTTTTCTACCTTTAAGTAACTTATAGGGTGATATCGAAGCAACCTCTTTCGATTAAAATGATACTCTCGTTTGCTTTCCCATTTAGCAAGCATCACATAATTTCTCTTTTAAAAAATAATTTTAGAAAGACCAATAACTAAAATTCTTGGATGTTATTTTATTCAACAAGTCAAAATGCACATGACTCAAGCGTCTATGCTATAACCAAGAATCTTCACCTTTGGCTACTAAACCCTTAGTCTCATGCATCGACATATCACCTAGATCAAGCATATATATATATTATCAATCATAAAACCATTAAATATAAGGTCCTTACTTGCCTTATGCTCTATTGATTAACTAAGAGTATAAAAAATAATGGTGTACCATTTGTCGCGTAATTGGCTAACGCTAAGTAGGTTATATTTAAGTCCTTTAACTAAAAACACATTTTCAATGGTGATTGTGGAGGGGATTCCCACAATACATTCTCCTAGTATTTTACCTCTTGTGTTGTCCCCATACATGACGGGCCACTTTCATTCTCATTGAACTTGATGAACATGGTAGCATCTCCCGTCATGTGTCTCTAACATATGTTATATAAAAACCATGATCTTTTCGCGGATACAAGACTTTCCCGTGACAATCAAATATGCAATTTAGGTCCCTAACTAGTGGATCCTTTTGGGTTAGTCGATGTAAACTTAGGAACCCATACCATTTTACCATTTATCACGATAATAATGAAAAATAAGTTTAGATGAAATGCTTCTTCTATTTATCCTAGTGACACAAGGTTTTTTCATAAAAATCGTCCCTCTATCACATGAAGAACTAGAACAAGAACCAAACGTAGGTGCATGTTGCATCAAACTGAATTACTAATTAATTGTGTTATTTATTGCTTTTATGCTCCATAATCTTGAAAAAGTTGATTATGGTGACTCTGGTTTAACTTGTTGAATCAGTTGCAAGGATATCACATGTGACACCTGTCCCTTGAGGAACATAATTTCAAGGATTAAAGTAGAAATGCTCAAATATTTAAATATAACATAAGTATTAATTATAAAGAAAAATGTAACATAATAAACAAAATGTGATTACTAATAAAAAATACTTAATTAAAAATAACCATATAAAACTAGCTAAATGATGACTAATCACTCCCTCATATTATGTAGGGGTGTGTAATTCTCTACGGGCCTTGAAGGAGGTTTGAATGCTCTCATTTCTTTGATCGGTTAAGGAAAGATGTTTATCTATTTATTAGAGAGTTAAGATCCTCCGTTGATGTGTTCCTTCGCATTTCTGACCCTCTTCTCGGGCTGCTTTCATTGCCTTTGACGTAAAATTCAACCATCTTCATTATTTCCTCCATTGAGTTCGCAAGTTTCTGGGTGAGGGATTCGTTGAAATGTATGACATTTAGCCCATTTTTGAAGGTTCCCATAAACATCTACTGGTTAGGAAATATCACCTTGATGGTATTCTCGTAAGGATTTAAATTTTCTCTAACACACATCGAGTAGGCTTGTTATGGACACATTGCGATTTTTACTTGTTGAAAACTTATGAATTAACTTTCTAGAAAGGTCTTGATAGCGACTCATAAAGAACATCAAAGGTTCATGTACCAACACAAGGTTTCCTCTTTTAGTGTTCTAGAATGGAGTTTGCACTTGAGATAATCTACCATACCTATTATAACCATTAGTGCATTGATAGTGATAACATTCTTCTGAAGATCGCTATTTCCGTCAAACGTCACTAATAAGGGCAACTTGAAATTATCTAGAATTGAGGCGTCCTAGATCTCGGTAAAAGGGATATGAGATCCAACACCTACATGTCTTCCTTTTCATCGCCATTTTATTATTAATGTGGAATGTTTTGAACACTTGTTTGGATTTAGCGAGACAACTTCTCCATGGCAACCTTCATTTTTTATAGGGTCTCTTGGCCACTATTATTAGATGTAACTCTTATGGACACCATCATGAGACAAAGACTTTTCGAAAAGCTGTGTGATCCATGTTGGTTTTACTAGACCCAACAATGGACATCAACTGTACTTGTATGTAGTACAATAAAGGCGACCCTACATGCGATAACCTAATCAATATGACATTTGGTTGTCTGATATGTGAATAAGTGATACCTTGACCTAACATTAAGTTAGGTATTTATAGCTTTAACTCTCTCAAGAATGATGCCAAACCCTTTTCCTATTATATCGACCACATTCAACTTGACTCGTTCTCATTAGGGAGCATGGCTGGCTGGTGGGTCATCCCTCCAATGTAAGATACATGGTTAGTCAACTTAGTGAGATTTGAGACTCTTCATTTGCACTAGGGATATTCTTGTTGGTTTTAAGGAACATACTTTGATTTATCATCTCAAATAGTTGAGGGGGCGTGACGAGCTCGCCCATGTACCCGATATGTCTTTAACCTTGCTTAATCTATTTTTAATCCCCTTGATTAGTTTTACAAGATAAAAGATAAATAGGCCAAGCTTGTTAATATCAAATTGGCCTGAGTCATAATATAACATCCCACAATTCCTCAAACAAGAGATTTGAAACAAGTTTGTAACAGTGAAATGATTAAAAATGACATAACAATCAACAAATCATGTAAATACAAGAATTGCAACGACGAAGTGGTTAAGAAGGACATACTTTTAAGTTTTTTTAACATTTATTAGTGACAAGAAAACAATCACATTTTTTTTTAAAATACATTTATCAACGTATAATAAAATACATCAAAATTAAAATCTCCAAATCCACACTGATTATGTTCAATGAAATTTTCATTACAAAACTTTTATAAAATGTTAGACATTTTGATGAGGAAAAAAAAAAGAAAAATTCAAATAATAAATAAACAAATATAAAAATTTTAACAAAGAAAGTTGTCACCCCGTATTACATTTAAAAACAATATAATTTAAAATTTAAATGTTAAACTGAAAGAAGATAGAGAAAGAAAATGAAAGAAAAATAAAAATTTAGAAAGTAAGAGAAAAAAACAGTAAAAAAGTTAAAATATCAAAAAGTAAAATAAAAGACAAATGGAAAAATACAAAAAAATAAAATAAAAATAAAAAATGATTATTTTTCCTTTAAAATAAATTAATTTTGATTATTTATGTAAAAATAAAAATTGCAACAAAAAAAAATGATAAAATATAATTGTGATTTTTAAATTAATAGTAAAGAAATTTTTTAAGTAAACACATCCATAATATGTGATTTTACACACAATCAATTACAATTTTCTATTAATTAAAAATAAATAAATATTTTTCTTTTTTCTTTTTTATCACAACCATCAATTTTTTAACTAATAAAAATTAAATTTTAAATAAAGCTAAAATTTTATTTATTTTTATTAGATTCTAAAAATATAAAGTTCTGTGTGTTTTCTTTTAGATATTTCTTAATTGTTTTTTTTTATCAAGTTGATAGCAGTAGATTTAAATTATATTAATTCTTCAATAATAATGATAAAAAAGAGTTAAATATTTAAATTTCGTGGATCTTAGATTTTTTTCATTTTTTTCTTTTTTTAATGAGCTTTTATCTCTCTTAATCATATATTTTTTAATTAGACAGATAATATATATGTATAAATTAAAATATTTTAGCGATAAGATTTTATTTTTCATTAATATTTATAGAAATGAATGAGTGTCATGTACAGCATCACACGTGACCAAAATGTTTCGAAGGACATGACGGTAGTTCTAATTTGCAGAATATAGATTAGGTGCCTTTGTGGTGGGAAAGACACGTGCCTTTGAGTGAATATTATCCATCAGATTAATTATACAGGATTTAGACACGTGTCCTAACTTTATTAATTATTAAAAACCCTTAATATCATTAAAACACTCTATAGTGTAACATTCATGTCGTCAACCTTCCACCCGTCAACTAACAACACAATTAAACACCATTGTAGACAAAATTAGCACTTGTTGATGAAAAGTACATAACTTCCATCTTTCCAAAGCAATTAAAAAGAAAAAGACCTTTCTCTAACTCTTCATCATCTCAGATTCAGTTAGCTTGCATCACAGTTTCACTTTCACTCTAAACTCACACTTCTTCGTCTAATTTTTTCACTACTCTTTAATTTACCCATGGTTATTTTTCTTCTCTCTTTGAGGCTCACCGATATCCCACAATTCTCATTGGCAAAAATCTTAATGAATACTCGTGAGGCATGTATGAATGCACTCATGGAAGCTACAATGAATAGCGGTAGGAGAAAGCGGAGCGGGGTGGTAGATCGACGGTATAAAGAAGGTGATAATAGGTTTTCTTTGACTTTGACTCACTTGTACTGATATGGATTTTTTTCTAAAAAATAAATATAAGTTAGGACAAGTGTCTAAATCTAGTGTATTCAATTGATCTGATGGACATTATTGACTCAAAGGCATGTGCGTTTCCCGCCACAAAGGCACCCAATCCGGATCCCAACTTGCAATGTGTTCTCCACAACCTTCTCTATATATACCCTCTTCTCCAAATCATAGACTTTAAAAAGCCCCAATTTTCTTCGCTCCCAAAATTCAACCAACAACGAAAACTCAGAGAAGCACTTTCAGAAGAAGAAACACAAGAACGCTACTCCAAAGACTCTAACGTTGCTTCCGATTCGTAATTCCAAACCCTAGATCTTCTTTATTTTCTTCGCAATTCGCATAATTTTCATCATCGTTATCATTATTGTTAATCTTTTCTTTGTTTTCTTGTTCGTGTTATGAAACTATGTTTAAATCTTAGTTATTCGATGTAGATCGTAATTTTCAAGGTAGAATGGCGACGTTCGAACTTTACCGTAGGTCTACGATTGGAATGTGCCTCACCGAGACTTTGGATGAGATGGTTCAGAATGGAACTCTTAGTCCTGAGCTTGCTATTCAGGTTCTGGTTCAGTTTGATAAGGTTGGTTTTTTTTTTTTGGAGATGATGCTAGGAGATTAGGTTTTTGGATCTGGTTTAGCGTTGGTTTTCTTTAATTAATTTTAATTTGCATGTATGTTTGTTTTGTAGTCTATGACTGAGGCTCTGGAAACTAAAGTTAAGAGCAAGGTTTCTATCAAGGTAATACTGTTTCTTATGTTTGCTGCGTATCTTTTGTCAAGTAGTGTAAGATGTTGAATTTTTATGTGGGGAATGTTGGTTACCTCTATAGCACCGACACCTCTGAAAAAGTGTGTCTGCCTCAGTTTTGGTATCTGAAACTGACACTTGTGATTATGTTTAATTTATTCATTTTCTAAAATTATTATTGTGTCTGTCGTGTAACCGGTGTCTTTGCTTCATAGTTGGTTATTGTTAGGATATGCTTAGGGGTGTTTACACTTTTGTGGGTTGTATTTTGAGCTATTGCTATTTGGAGCGTAACTGAATGATGTAGTGTATGTTTTTGGCTTGATAAGTTAAGCTAGGTTTGTCCTCACACAGTGGTGGGGCTTGAGTAATTTTGTTGGGCGGGGGGCTAAAAACATATAATTTGTATAATACTATTTCAATTTATTGTTACAAATCATTAATTGGCGCAGTGGTAAAATTTTGTATAGATAAAAGTACAATATAAATTAGAAATACCAAAAAGGGGCGACATGTAATCGAATATACGGCCTCGGTTTTTACATAACCTTGTGCGTGCCACTGTGCGCATAACAATTATAGTCATTAAGCTAAACAAATCATGTATATACATTTATTATTATAATGTACGTAGTTATATGTTAAGACGAAGAAAATTTTGGGGTGGGGTGGCCGCTTTTTCAATCATACACTCACACTCGCAGAAAGAGTTTTTGTGATCCCAAAATTCAAACCAATGAGGGGATGTTTACCTAGAGTAGCATGACACTTTAAGTATAACTAACCACTTCCGTTGGATTTGTTTAACTTACACAACACACATGCTTAAATTTATGATTGGTTAATTCTATATGTTATACAATAAAATTGTTAATGAGATAAAACATAAATTTGTGTTTACAATTACCTTCCAATCTATATGAAGTTTCATAGACCTGATATACTAATTAGAACTTTCAGTCTGATCTCTGTGTTGATTAGTCTTTACCTTTGTATCCAATTGGTGAGTGTGTCAAATGATTTCTGCGTTGAATTAGTCTTTATCTTTCTATCCAATTGGTGAGTGTGTCAAATAATTTTTACCTTCAGTTTGTGTGAAATTTCATAGACTTGATTTCTTTATTTGATATTTTTTTTACAATAATGGAGTTGATAAAATTATACTAATTTGTAGAAAGTTACTAGAGGCAGTAATTATGAATTAACACCTGTTCCAATGAATCCTAGAGAGAGGGGGAGAAAATGAATGAAATTACTCCAGGAGCAAATCTTTAGTTATTCCATCCTCACCTTTGATCTTATGGCTAAAAGCAAAATTTGATTTCACATCACATGAAAGTTTTCATGGTTCTATTCCTCACCTTTTCATGATGTTCTTTTGTCAGTCCTCTGAAATTAGTTCACAAATTTTCAAGTGCACCTTGCTCTGGGCATGAATTGCTCGAAAAGTTGTTGTTGGCTGCCATAAATATTGCTTTCTTCTAAAACAAGTTATCCTATTCATGTCTTACAGATTTTAAACTGGCATTCTTTTACAGTATCCTTTACAGAAATTTGTGCGCTGACTCAGACGTGTTCTTTTGCTAAGTACACTATGCTAATAAATCATAAACACATACTCTAGGTCAACAAATCAGGATAAACAAGGATCATTGTGTCTAAAGGCTTGTATAATTTATAAATAGGGACCAAACCCTTTTCGAATGGTAATTGGATTCAGAACCACAATTTCAGAGTTACAATCTTCGAATTAGAAATAAATAGGTATATAAATCCCAACCAGAATCAAATAGAATAGAAAAATAATAGCAAATTAAAGAGCAATTGCAGAAAAAAATGAAGACGAGTGGAAAAATAAGGAAGGTCGGTCAGTGTTGTTAAAAAACCGATTAAACGTCGCTATACCACTATTATTATGTATCGGAATTCGGGCTAGCCGATACGATATGTTAACTCCTTTGTTTGTTATATCGGCTTGTGTTGATATATTGGTATGCAATGAATATCGGAGTTGTGTGTTTTAACAGTGGCCAAACTCTTTAAAACATTAAAAAGTGTACATAATCTGAAGTGGTGGTCGGCCAGTTAGTGGGATTTATATATAATACCTAAAGCAGTAAAACCTCACTGCCTTTACCTAGGTAAAAACACATCTCACGACCTCAAAAAAAAGGTAGCAGCTCTGCCTCCATCATTAAATAACCCTTCTATTCTCCACAACTTTCCTTCATCTCCTTCATGCAAAGTATGCAACACATCATGCTTTATTAGTTGTTTGGGATTTTGAATTTTATGTTAGTTACTTTCTTTATTCATGTTCATGCAGCTTTTATTTGTATGCAGCATGCATTGTTTTATATACAATTACTTATATTTCAACTGCTTTATGGCTTCCGCTATTTACCTGTTGCACTGTCTGCTATTTTTCATATTGGATTTCTATCAATCTGCTATTTTCTGCAATCCAATATTAATAACACCGGGTCGGTGAACCGAGGGGAATTCAACCAAAGTGAACACATATTTTCTGGGCCACCACTGTGAATGTATTTTTGCAGCAAGCCCATCACATCATTTTGGGGTCAACAAGTGAGAGTAATTTATTAGCTACTAACTGTAAATCACCCCATTAAAAGTAATATTGGGGACAATCTGTTAGTTGAACCCTTCTTCAATATATACTCCCTCCATCTTAAATTAGAAGCACCATTAGTGAAAAACCCAAAATCTAAGTTTTCTTTTAAATTACTAGATGCATTTATTATTTTTTCCAAACATAACCTGAATTGATACTACTAATTTGTTCTGGCATATTAAAAGTCAATATTGAATACATCCATACTCAAAGGGCTAATTAGTAATCATTATATGAAATATGGACGTTTATTGTATTACCAACTTTTCTCATTATATGTGAAATATGCAATGGATGCTTTTAAAGGGGATGGGGGAGTGTGTGTGTGTATATACATATATGCCTTATTTCGCAATTGTAATATGCTGCAAGTTTAAGCTTTATTCTTCTGCAAAAAATGCCTATCTATTATGTTCATGAGCTAATATGTTCTGTGTGAAATCCCATGCTTGTTTAATTTATAAACAGACCAAAATTTTCATTTCATATAGTTTTTGGTGAACTGAGCTGTGCATGTTTTGGAGCAGATAGTTTACCTGCCCGGGTTGTAGGTTTATGCAATTTAGTGGCAAAATCATATTTGTTTGTTGCTGTTATAATAGGCTTGCGTGCTTGGTTACTCCCTCTCGAACTTTTAATTTGAGAAATTAGAAAATAAATGAGCTTCAATATTTTTCTTTTCTGGTTTAATCATTATAAACGAAATAGAATATTAGTACAAATAATAATGAAGGAAGTAGTCGTTATGTGTAGTTATTTTCTCATACGATGATTGTGCATACTTTTTAGAACATAGAGTGGCATTTATATGGAGTGGTGTAGATTTGAGTGTATATTATTATGGTGATCTATACAATCAGTGTTTCAGTAGGTCTTATAAAAAGGGACTGAAGTAATTTTATTCATATGTTTTTCTCTTGAGTTTATATATTTACAATTACACAATTAGGAGTTTAAAGCTGCAGAATATTTTTCATTGCACACCTTGAAAAATACCTCTTTTTCTTTTTTATAATTCTCTAGCCTTTTTCTTCTTTCCCCATTTTTGTCCTGTTTTTTGTTTGGGATTCACTTGCGAATTTTGTTCTGGGGATTCCAAGACACATGGAAATTCAGAAAACTCTCTATAAACTGTTGAAATATCAAATTTAGTGTTGAAATATATATGCTTCTTAAACTTAGAATTCCCTCTGAGATCATACCCTCTCCAAGAACATGTCTCTTTTATATTCTCCATTTAGATTCTTTTCTTGGTTATTTTCATGACTCCTGTCCTGGTTTTGAGTAGGAAAATATATTTGTTCAAAGTTTAATTTATTGCTATGCGTACTGTCCTTATTTTTTACTTAAAATTTAACACACTTGATTCAAATGGACTGTGTTGGCATGGCTATTATTGTTTATTGCTGTCATTACACTATATATGTATGGGTGATTTACGTTAGTAATTCATCAATTATTGTGGTTATTTCCCTTTCCTTTTCTTTTCACTGTATTTTCTTCTTTTTCTTTTAACTTTTTTCCAATCACAGGGACATCTCCATACATACAGATTTTGTGATAATGTTTGGACTTTCATCTTACAAGATGCTCTGTTGAAGAATGAAGACAGCCAAGAGAATGTTGGACGGGTTAAAATAGTGGCATGTGACTCAAAGTTGCTCAGTCAGTAAGATGCCCAAATCCTGTCACGTTGTCATGATCTGCTGGTACTATGGGAATGGTGGCTACAGCATAGTATTGGATGGCCTAATTATTTTGCATGAACTAGTTAGCATCTAATACTATGTTATTGTAGACTTATAAGGCCTTCATTCTTCATGTCATTAGATAATTAATGTTATATTGAGAACATATCTTATGGGAATTGGATGAATCACTATCGTTTAACTGTGTTCCGTTATATTTTTCCATGAGTCAGTAAATTAATGTATGGACCCAAAGGTAGCCAATCCTTTTCCTTTATTTATCTGCAGAAAACTATAGTTTGAGAGGTTAGCTACCCTCAAAGCTATTAGCTATTACTACATTCTTTTTTAAATATATGTTTTTTGTTTATATTTTTCTGTCTATTTTTTAGTAGTGAAGAATTTAAAATCAGTAACTGAATTTACAGTTAAGTTTCCATTGCATACTATAACCAAATTGCACCACTGATAAGTACATCTGCATGATTTCTATGGTGCATTTTTCTCAATTTTGAACATTTTCAAATTAATATAAACTTTTTTGAATATTTTCACATGTTATATACTAGTAATTAAGGATTAATGAGTGTTTCTATCTTTAATGAGCGTTTCCTATATATGTTATAATACTAACATTATAATAACAACAATAACAACATTATAATAAACCTTCAAAATAAATAGGTTATTAAATATAATTTTTTTTTGAAAAACATTAATTAATTTATTGGAGACAACAATATACAATTATTATTATTATTTATATACCGATATGTTTATTATATTTTTAATTAATATTTATTAATTTTTTATTTGAATAATAAAAACTATAATCTTATTGATATATCTGTAATTTAATTATACATTATATTTTTAATTAATTTGTGATTCATTTATGTAATAATATTTATTAAACTTTTAATTGAATAATTGAATAATTGAATAATCATGTCTAGGTTAGCTTTGCTATTCATAACCGGTCTCAAATCTGGATAAAAGGAGAGGGTTGTGTTAGGCTTTCGACAGCCAACATAAAATTTTGTCGAATCTCTATGACATGGATCAATTAAGTAATGATGTGAATGTTAGGTCGTTGTTCGTAAGTAACGCGCTGTATGGCTCGTGTACAGTGTCAAAAGAGCAAGGCCTGCTGCATCGCCGACCGAATGTATTGAAAAATAAGTAAGGATTTGCATATTTTCGTGAACGAGTGTGGATAAAGAAGCAAGTTCATGAAAGGAGGATTCACTTTGGTTCATGGAATATAGACACATTCGCTGAAAAATCTATAGAAATAGTGGATGTTATGGTTAAGAGGAAGATCAATTTTATGTGCCTACAAGAAATTAAGTGGACAGGTGAAAAAGCTAAAGAATTAGACAATTTGAGATTTAAGCTTTGGTATATTGGAAAAATTAGATTAAGAAATAGGGTGGAGATTATTGTGGATAAGGAGTGGAAGAAGGATGTTGTGGATGTAAGAAAAGTAGGAGACCGAATCATAGTCTTGAAATTTATAGTGGGACAAGTAACCTTTAATGTTAGTGGGTACGCTTCTCAGGTTGGGTTAGCATAACACCTTAAGATAAAATTTTGGGAGGATTTAGAAGGGGTACTTCAGAATATACCTCAAGGAGAGAAGATTCTCCTAGGAGGGGATCTCAATGGACATGTAGGTAACATGGCAAGAGGTTTTGAGAGTGTGCATGAGGGTCTTGGCCTAGGGGAGGTGAATACGGAGGGTAAATCTATCTTGGAGTTTTTGTCGGCTTGAGATCTTTCTATAGCCAATATATGGTTTAGGAAAAGAGATGAACATCTTATCACATATAAAAGTGGAGGGACATGTTCTTAGATAAATTTCTTTCTTACCAAGAAGTCTGATAAGAAGTATTGTTTGAACTATAAAGTTATCCCGGGAGAGATCTTGACTACCCAACATAGAGTTTTGGTTATAAATGTAAGAATTAAAGAAAGGGAAAAGAGAAGAAGTACTATGGTAGCACCAAAGATCAAATGGTGGCATTTGAAGGGTGAGAAACAAGGAATTTTCCAACAAAAAGCATGGGAGGGATGATTTGGACAATCACAAGGAAGTGCAAATGATATGTGGAACAAGATGGCCCAAGAGATTAGAAAAGTGGATAAAAAGACGTTGATTGAATCTAGAGGTCTTGAACTTAGGGGTAAAGAATCGTGGTGGTGAAATGAAAGTGTCCAGAGCAAAGTTAAAATAAAAAAGGATTGTTTTAAAGAGTGGTCTAGATGTATAAATTGTGAAACTTGGGAAAAGTACAAGATAGCTAAAAATGAAACCAAAAAGGCGGTGAGTGAAGCAAGAACTCAAGCTTTTGATGGACTATACCAATATCTAGGAACCAAGGAGGGAGAAAGATCCATATACAGGCTTGCTAAGAGAAGAGAAAGAAAGACTAGAGATTTGGATCAAGTAAAGTGTGTTAAGAATAAAGAAGGCAAAGTCTTAGTGTAGGAAAAAGATATAGATGATAGATTGAAGGTGTATTTCCATGACTTATTTAATGATGGATATGGGTAATGACTCTAGAAGACTAGACATAAGAGAAGAGATCAGAACTATAGTTACTATCATCGGATTCAGAAATAGAAGGTAAAGAAATCGTTGAAAAGAATGAGTAACAGTAAGACTGTGGGACCATACAACATACCTATTGAAGTTTGGAAAATTATTGGAGATAGAGGTATTGAGTGGCTCACCAAACTATTTAATAAAATTATGAGGTCAAAACGTATATCAGATGAATGGAGGAGAAACACTTTAGTTCCTATCTATAAGAATAAAGGATATACAAAATTGTGCAAATTATAGGAGAGTCAAGCTTATGTGTCATACCATGAAATTATGGGAAAGAGTGATTGAACAAAGATTAATAAAAGAGACTCAAGTTACTGAGAAACAATTTGGTTTTATATCGGGAAGATCGACCATGGAAGCGATTTATCTATTACGATGGATGATGGAGCAATATCGAATGGACCAACAAGACTTGAGTTGTTGTACCCCAAAGTTTCCCTCCCATTTTTCAAGACAAATTAATTCAAGATATCTCCTCATGCTCCTAAGGGTCTTAAATACTCAAGACTACTCAAGGATTGATAAGATGAATCCTCCTCCTAAGCAGTGACCTACAACCAGGGTTTTGTTTTTCTCAAAGAAAATTGGACTTCCAATGCCTCAAGTGGATTTCATGGTTTATCATATGCTTCAAGGTAATCTCATGTCAAATTTCAAGCCTTGCAACACAAGTTTGCTCAGTCAATTGTTTAGATGATTGAAAATCAACTGTATTGGGCAAAAAGTCAACTTTGACCAATTTACATTCAAACTTCAAGATTTTTGGTCAACATAAATATTTTGAAGTCACATTCATCATTTGATCAATGGTTGATCATGATTCATCAAGAAAACTCAAGATTCATCAAAAGTCAAAAGTTACTAAGTTAGGGTTTTCTTTAGGAGAAGTCAACTGAACTTTGACCAAGCATAACTTTCACATAATTCATCATAAAATTCTTAACCAAAGCCCATTTTGATAGAAATTCGACTTTCTACAACTTTGTCTCCCTAAACGCAAGGCCAAAAATGCTTCATTTGAGAGATATGAGCCAAAACATTACAGGTCATTTTAAAAGTCAATAAAAAGACACTTTTTTTCAAAGAAATTTAAATCAAGTTAAAATCTTCAAATTAAAAAATGACCAACATGAAGTTGGTAGGGGACATCTCGAGATTTTCAAAAAGTCTAAGATCACCTTCATATGATGAAAATTGAGTGAAATATGATTGGTGCAAATTGGGCAATTTTGAGAAAATGCATGAAACTCAAATCGAGCAAATTTGAATTTTTGGGCTAATGGACCTATCTTTTAAGGTCTAAATATGTTCATGATACCTTAGAGGACCTCTAAGTGCATTCATGCATTATTTTAATTTTTATTTCATTTATTTTCATTTTTATTCATTTAAATTCAAAATTAAATCAAATAAATATTGAATAAATGTATAAGGCATAAAAGGCTTGAGATCTGAATATTTTGGAGGTCCAAGATCAAGCAAGAAGCTGTGTGCACCTATTTTTCAATCAAATCTTCATGGTTTTATAATAATTCAACCTATTTTCAAACAAGAATCAAAGATATGTTTCACATGATGTCCAAACCCATCTTTTAACCTAATCTCCTCCTCTATATAAACACTACATATTCAGACCAAAAACACATGCAAGGAGGCTGCAAGAAACAAGGGTTTTTTGATCAAAAATTTGCAAGAGAAGGGTGAATTCGAATCCCAGATTTCTGCCATCCACAAGGAGAAATAACCATCCAAATCAATTCCTGAGGTATCATAGAGTAAGTTCTGGTCATTCTTGATGATCAAATGCATCTAAAACATGCATCCATCCATCGTCGGTTTTGCATTTTTTTTTGTGAAATCTATATTTTAATATTTGCGATGCTTTGGTTTAAACTAACGGTTTCAATGTGTTCATGAGACAAATTAGCGCATGTTTCATCCCTTGCATGAGGCCCATGATGCCAGAACACTTTATTACCATTATTACACCGTTTAGATTTGTTTTGATCATATCTCTATATACAGGATGAATTAGCCAAAAAGGACGCTACCATTGGATTCATGAGGTCCAAATTAGGGGGATAAGGTCCTTCTTGATCTCTAACGCACGTTGCTTTTGCAGATGAATATTTGACCTCGCTGGAGAAGACGACCGAAGCTAGGGCTCCGGCACCTCTCCGGTTCACTGGTTTATAATATAATGTTTTGTTTCTATTATGCTAACAGATGTGAAGTGCAGCACAGTTGGTTGAGGCGAAGGCTTGTTAAGTGAGAGGGCGTGGGTTCGATCCCTTGAAGATGTGAAAAACACAAGAAGAGGGGTTGAATTGTAAAACTTAAATCAAATGTGCAGACAACACTGTATTTTTAT